ACATAGCCGAGGAGGATGTACACAAAATGACGTTTCGGTGTTCAGGATCCATTGGTTGTTTCGAGTGGATCATGATGCCATTTGGATTGGCCAACGCCGGGCAACTTACCAACGAGCCATGAATGCAATATTTCATGACTTGATTGGCGAGCTTGTCGAAGTGTACGTGGACGACATCGTCGTCAAGTCAAAGGTGACAAACCACCACCTTGCTCATTTGCGCAAAGCATTTCTACGTATGCGTGTTCATAAGTTGAAATTAAATCCGCTCAAATGTGCGTTTGGTGTGAGTGCAGGAAATTTTCTTGGTTTTCTGGTAAACCAACGTGGAATTGAAGTAGATGGCAATAAAACAAAAGCCATCATCAATGTCGCACCACCATCTAGTAAAAAAGAGTTACAACGTTTCCTCGGCCAGGTAAATTACATTCGAAGATTTTTCTCGAATTGTGCTGGGCGGACTCAAGTGTTTTCCTCATTGCTGAAGTTGAAGAAGGAAGACAAGTTTGTATGGAGGGAAGAACATCAACGTGCGTTTGATGATATCAAGAGATACCTGGTGACACCGTCGGTAATGAACTCTCCCAAAGCAGGGGTGCCGCTGAAGTTGTAATTGTCGGCCACGGACACTTCTGTTGCGTGTTTGTTGGCTCAAGACAATGAAGCAGGCAATGAAGAGGCCATTTATTATCTAAGTAGGCTTCTGAACGAGGACGAGAGAAAATATTCCCCCATAGAGAAGTTGTGTTTAGAGTTGTACTTTTCCTGTACAAAGTTACGTTACTACATGGTCCCTGTCCAGGTACAACTCATTTGCCAAGCAGACTTGATTAAATACATGCTATCTCGGCCAATTATATATTGCCGAATTGGCAAGTGGACCTTGGCTCCGTCTGAATTTAATTTAGAGTATGTACCTCAACGAGCCATAAAAGGGCAAGCATTGGCGGACTTCTTGGCAGATCATCCATGCATTGAAGTGCCAAGCGATCCCGTAGAAGTTTGCGAGGTTGGTATAACGCCATGGATCCTGTACTTTGACGGATCCAAAACTCGTGGCGGTGCTGGAGCTGGCGTGATGTTGAAAGCACCATCAGGCCGTGCCATGCATTTTGCATTCTCGTTGGATTTTCCTTGCACCAATAACCAAGCTGAATATGAAGCTTTGGTGGTCGGGCTGGAAATGCTCATTGAGCTTGGAGTCCGCAACGTGGATGTTAAGGGAGATTCACAGTTGGTGGTTCATCAGGTCCGCGGGGATTTTTGTTGTATCAATAGCGTTCTAGAAACATATCTAGACCATGTATTGTCGTTGACTGCCCACTTCGACAGTACGACGATCAACTTTGTTCCTCGAATGGACAATAGTGAAGCCAACTATCTTGCACAAATGGCTTATGGATTTAAAGAGTTTGCGAAAAGCAATGCAGTAGAAAAGATAGTGGTGCAAACACTTAAGCCCTTACGGGAGTGGCTGAGATTTGAGCAAGTTTGCGTAATAGAGAAAGACGCCGACGACTGGCGTGCACCACTGTTGTCTTACTTGCAAGATCCGAACAAGGTTATTGACCATGCTGTCAAGTTTAGAGCAAGGAGCTACGTAGTTTTGGATGGGACCTTGTATGAACGCATACCTGATGGGTTATTGTTGAAATGCTTGGGGGGCAAGGAGGCGTTGCAAGCCATGGGAGAGGTGCACGAAGGAATATGCGGAGCCCACCAAGCTAGTCCTTCCATGCGATGGATTCTACATCGCTACGGATTCTACTGGCCCACCATCAGGCCAGATTGCGCGGCATATGCCTAGGGCTGCGAGGCTTATCAACGTCACCGTCCCGTTCAAGGAGCGTCGGCGGTGGATCTGAATTCCATAATCAAACCGATACCGTTTTATGGTTGGGCCATGGATTTGATTGGTATGATTTATCTTCCATCGTCAAAGAAACATGTTTTCATAATTTTGGCCACTGACTACTTCACTAAGTGGGTGGAGGCCAAACCGTTGAAGGTGGCGAACCAAGAGGGAGTGATTTCTTTCATACAAGAACACATTATCCATCGATTTGGTTTGCCAGCAACAATAACGGCGGACCAAGGAAATGTGTTCACTGGGAGGCAAGTTATGGAGTTCGCGGCGGGGGATAAAAATTATCCATTCCACACTGTATTACTCACAAGCTAACGGGCAAGCGGAAGCATCCAACAAGGTCGTGAAAAATATTTTGACAAAGATGATTAAGGATAGTCTGCGACGTTGGCATGAAATTTTGTCAGAAGCGTTGTGGGTATACAGGATGTCCCCGCGGAGCAGTACGAGAGTGAGTCCATTCTCGTTAACTTACGGTCATGAAGCATTCCTTCCCGTGGAGGTGACCGTCAACTCACTCCGGTATATGAAGCAGCAAGAGTTAACACCTGAGGAGTATCATGAATCAATGATGTTTCAGCTCTGCGTTCTTGATGAACTTCAACTCCGCGCCCTCGATAATGTTCAAGTACAGAAAGCAAGAGTGGCAAGAGCTTATAACAAGAAGGTTCGGCACAAATCGTTCGAAGAGGGCGAACTGGTTTCGAATGCTCACTTGCCGATTGGGGAAAAAGATCCCAAGTTTGGAAAATGGTCGCCAAATTGGCGTGGACCATTCGTGGTGCATGTTGTGCGTCCTAATGGAGCATACTTGCTGAAAGACTTAGATGGAGTGATGCATGAGCGTTTGATAATGGCAAATATTTAAAGCCATACATGACGTCCCTATGGGACACAGCTGGTCATTAATCTGAGCAATGACGAACAACCATGTGCTAAAAGGAAGGGGCCTAGTCGGCCACCTTGCACAACCTGGTTGAATAGTACGGAATTGGCGAAGTATGCAACAAATACACTAATTTGCCAACTCCGTTACTAATAAAGAAAATCTTTAATGCTTGTAAGGCCAGCGGCAGGGTTCACTCGAGTCCAGCCGGTGTGGTACCGCGGTTTGATGCCAAAATGTTCCTTGCTCATGAAACAAAACCGTCTTTCGCCACGAGGGTAGGCAAGGGTTAACAATGTTGTTTGGCATAGAAGATTTGAAACTTGGCATAAAAAAAAGGAGAGGGCGGCCAAAACAGCGCTGATGAGGAATTGAAAAAGAAGGGAAAAAAAAACAGGATTGTTTGGACGATGAACAGTGCTGCTGGAGGTCCTAAGCGCGGCCGCAATGGTATAAAATTTTTAATTAAAGCCAAAATTGTTTGGTTTAATAAAAGTGAAATAAAAAAAAATGTCTCTCAGTGCTGCGGCCAAGCAATGTTGCGGCTGTTGTTGCAGTCTAACAACTCTGTCGACAAAAGGAGTAGTGTGCGGCCAAGCAGCTCTAATATAAAAAAAATAAAAAAAAATCTAATGCATGCAGCGCTGGTAGAGGAGAATAATAATAATAAAAAAAGGTAAAAAAATGTGTGACCGAGGCGGCTATGCAGGCCTGCTAAAGAGGAAAAATAGGCCAAAAGATTTCCGCCAAATTTTGGTGGATTGGTGGTTGAAATTAAAATTATTTTAGGTGTTGTGAATTATGTCAACAATTTGGTTCATAATTCTTATAAACCAAATTGTGGGGGGCATTTGTTGACACCTAAAATTAATTTGGCCGGAATTAAATGCCGCATTAATTAGTCTCGGCATTTAATTCGATACCGCGGGTAAAAAACGTCGTTGGGACTCGAGCGGCGTCGCGGAGAACTAAACGGTACCGCAAGGTAGCTCAGCGGTACCGCAGTACTGGAAACGACACCGCTAACCGAAAAACAAAAAGGGCCGCGCGTTTAGTGTGGGTATTGGAGAAGGAGTTTCTCTAATTAAATTATTATTTTTATTCCTTGCTGGAAGGGGAGAAGCAGTACCGCATGGGGACAAGCGGCATCGCGGAGAGTTGATAAGCGGTACCGATTAATTAAAAACAATATCGGGTAAGTGACCAAAATTCGCCCAGCCCAATTCGAGTGCAGACTGGCGGCGGTTCCATGGATTGATATTTTTGGCTATATTAGCGGTGTCGTTTAATTAAAAACGGTACTGCGAGTAAGCCCAATGGTACTGTTGTACTAGCAAACGGCACTGTTTAAAATAAAAAACAATGTCGCGAAAGGAAAAACAAACGAAGTCGTTTTGGCGCTAATGATGTCGTTGGCCAACACACGAGTTGGGCTAGTGATGGCTGGATTAATTAATTAATATTTTAATGACTATTTAAGACGGTGTCGTTTAGTTGAAAACGATGCCGCAGGAGGAAAGAAACGACACTGCGGATTTAAAAAAGATGCCGCGAGTAGGCCAAACGATGCCGCAATGGTTAAAACGATAGTGCTAAATTTAAAACGGCATCGCGAAGTTCAACAGCATCGCAGAACTAGAAAACGATGTTGTTTAATTAAGAACGGCGCCGCGAAGTGAGAGTTTGACGGCGTGTCAACAATGATGGCCGGTTTCATTAATTAATATTTTAAGGTTGTAGAGTCATAGATCGTAGCTTGTAGTCGTAGTCGCGGAGCTCTCCAGAGGAACCTCCATAGGAGTAGAGGTAACGTAACTTAGAACACTCCTGGTTTGGTTTTTCGTTGAACGCCCTCGTTTGAATGTAGTTTGGAGAGGTGGTGAACCGAGTAACGGTTGTTCTGGTTAGAAGTCAAAGGTGCATTGATCAAATCAACATCGTCGACGCCGACGGTGGATATTTGACAGTTATCTTGGTTTCTGTTTAATCGATCAAATCAACGGCGCCGACATTCGACGGCGGATATTTGAAGATTGTGATTGACTTTGTGTTTTGTGTTTACTGGAAAACTGTGTGCATCGAACGAACGAAACAACAACTATGGCTGCTTCTACTGACAGGTTAAGCCATCTTCCAGAACTCATTCTTTCTCACATCCTTTCCTTCCTCGACACCAGATCCGCCATCCAAACCGCCATACTGTCCCGAGTTTAGAAGTCCAGTTGGAAACAGGTCCCAAAATCGACTTTCGCCAAGATGCCTTCCATGAAGCTTCGATTTTCAAAAGGTTTGTGTGTAATGTATTGTCCTTTCGCAGCCTCCTTAATCTCCGCGAGGTCCGCTTTGCCCTCGCCGGAGATCCGCCGGATTATAAATTTAAGAGGAGGATGATCAAACATGCCTTTTCCCATGACGCCCAACGACTGGTCCTCGATGCTGGGACTTGCAGAAATTCCGGTTACTCTTTCACCGGTTTGTCGGGCTGGACCCCGAATCCCAATCTGAAAAGCCTAGAATTGAGACATCTCCTCCTCTGCGACGGACTTGGATCTTCAGGTTTCCAAACGCTGACGGCGTTGAATTTGGCCTTTTGCCGTTTGGAGACTACTGATCATCACGAGGTGGACGATCTCGACCTGTTCTCCAACTTTCCTTGCCTGACGAATTTGGTCATGAGTAACATGCGCCATACAGGTGCGGTGAAATGTATCAAGGTACATGGACCCCAATTGCTCAGGCTGGAGCTGGACAGCTTGGAGCGTTTCAAGATCGAAATATTTTCTCCTAAACTCAAAATCTTCCATGTTAGTCAATTTGTGACACCCGAAAGAGGGTTGACAAAGTTAATCGTTCTCTCCCTAGATCATGCGGAGATTTCTGTGCCCCTGGGGGTGGTGGAGCGAGGAGAGACAAGTGGTACAGCAACATTTCGTCTTATTGTGTGAAGTGGTTGGGACGAAGAAATTAGGTCAGAACGAAAAGGGGAGGAAGAGAGATCGAATAGACGAGAAGAATGAGATTGTTTCTCTTGTTCGATTCTCAAATCAGCTAAGTAAGTGACCAGACAGAAATAGAAATGGGCCTGAACAGTATTAATTGATTAGGCCCAACCGAATGAGTATAAACATCTCAAGCCCACAGATACAAAGCCAAGTCCAATGAACAAGAGCAGCTCAGCAGAGATGAACTCAGAGCATCAGCAGGAAGAAAACGAACCAGCAGCAAAACTGAAAGTGCAGAAAGTAAATGGCTCAGGAAGTTTTTTAACGTGGTTCACCTTTGTGCAATGGTTACTTCCACGTCCCAGAATACAGTCTGGGAGACCCTTTAATAAATATAGAAATAAGAAGACTCAAGAACAAAATACAATCAAGGAAACTGAACACACGAGCAAAGCCACCTCAAGTCACAGACTTGATACCAGAACCAGAGAACCTCTACCTCTCTGTAAACCCTTTTGTAACCCAGCCCTTTACCGCTTCCACTTACAAAAAGTGCTCTCCAAGAAGACACACCAACAATATATATATAACAGCATTGAGAGAGCCGTTAGCACTAAAGAAGGAAACTCATTAGTCCTTAAATTGCTCCATCTTTGATTACCAATCAACAACGGTCCAGAGGCGTTAATTCTGGCTTGAATTCATCCAACAATCTCCCCCTAAGCCAGATATTGACGATTGCTTAAACCTGCAAAACAATGACAGCCAGCAAACAAACTACACGACAACTAGATCACGTTCTAAAAGGAAGTTCAAACGATAATCCAGATAATCCACGAAAAACAAAGCAATCCAGCTCTTCCTGAGAGCATAACAAAGAAAACTAGGCTCCCCCTGAGTTCACGCAATCTCTCAGAGCAAACAAGAGTCTAAACAAAGGAAACTAGAACAACACTCATTCCGAACCATAGAGATCTTGAAGAGCAGCAGCAAAGGGTTCAAGCACAGGTTCATCTCCTTCTTCAGAATGGTCAGAAGCACTAGATGCAGACACATGTCCAAGATCAAGCACAGAATCTTCTCCTCCATCAGAATCTTCTCCTCCATCAGAGTCCGAGCTTGAGTCGTCCGAGCTTGAGTTGTGTATCCAGATCAGGTTCACCTCCCCCTCAATCGCAATATCCAACTCATCCACAATGTTGTCCACAAAGAGCCAGAGAGTAGGAGATTCAAAGCGATAGGCATTAAGATTAATAGGCAGGGCAAGCAGCAGGCGAGTAATGAGGGTCCCAAAAGGTAACGGGGCAGAGTGGTTATGATCAATGAAGGGCAGCAGCGCTCCAAAAACCAGTTGAGAAAAATCGAGAGGCACTTCAGCAACAGCATGACTCATGATCCAGAGATCCAATGGTGTGACTCGATCAAGAAAGGCAGTTCGAGGCAGGAACAATCGAGTGAGACAGTAATGAAAAACCTGTAAGGAAGGCAACAGGGTGCTCACAGGGAGAGTTGAATCGTCATCAGGTTCATGGCCAGTAAGATGAACAGCCTCTTCAGACAGATTGAAGTTGAACAGAGGAAGTTCGACCTCATGAGCTAGGTTTTCTCCAACGGCAGGAAAGTGAAGGATTTGACCCAAATCTCCAACAGGAAGAGTGATCAGATGACCAAACACCAAGGAGGAAAGAGTATGAGATTGCAAACCAAAGTATCGCAGATTGGAGTAGAAGGCTCGTACTGCTTCAGGACAAACATGAGCTGGGTGCTCTTCCAGAAGAAAGTCCCAACCCAAGTTGTGCACAAGGTGTCTAACTTCCAGACCATGAACACTGAGCCCCACGAAAGGAACATGAAGAGTCGGGGAAATAGGACGATTTGCAAAGGATTGGATATGACGATGATAGTTCAAGGGAATTGGATCAAGGAAAAGAGTGCCAGAGAAAGTGAGGGCAAAGGCATAAGCCATGACAGGAGGCAAGAAGGAACAGGCTAAATGAGCAGACGACAAAGGATGAAAATCACGACAAGCAAACAGACTCTTAAATAGTAAACCTAAGAGACGAAAAGACAGTAAACAGAAAAGGAAGAATCATCAAAAGGAAAGAAACAGAGGGACTACCAAAACAAAAAGAAGGTAAAAAGGAAAGAAAAATCATACCAGAGCCTTCAGGTCATCGAAGAATCAGGGATGGATTGCAGTGATCTCAATCCAATATCAGTGCAGAGAAAAATAAATCGATCTGAAGCTAAAGGTTTGGTAAATAAATCTGCAAGCTGATAATCAGTGCTAATATATTGCAAATTTATGACCTTGGATTGAATGAGATCACGAATAAAGTGGTATTTAATTTCAATATGTTTGGTACGTGAATGTTGCACTGGATTTTTAGACATACAGATAGCACTAGTATTGTCACAAAAAAGAGGAATAGAAGAGACTTTAAGCCCGTAATCACATAATTGATTTCTAAGCCACAACAATTGAGTGCAAGTGCTGCCAGCAGCCATATATTCAGCCTCAGCTGTTGATAAAGCAATGGCTCCCTGCTTTTTGCATGACCAGGAAACCAGACTAGTGCCTACAAATTGGCAACTGCCAGAAGTGCTACGACGATCTGTTAAGCTACCACCAAAATCAGAGTCGCTATATCCCATAAGATCAAAGTGATCTAATTTAGGATACCACAGCCCTATGTCAGAAGTGCTTTTTAAATAACGAAAAATGCGTTTAACAGCACTTAAATGACTCTCTTTAGGACATGTCTGAAAACGCGCACACAGACACACACTGTACTGTATGTCTGGACGGCTGGCTGTAAGGTATAAGAGGGATCCAATCATCCCTCGATATTTAGATTCATCAACTGGAATCCCAGTCTCATCTTTGCCAAGTTTGATGTTAACTGCCATAGGGGTAGGAGAGGGTTTTAAAGAAGAGAAGTTGAACTTAGTAAGCATGGAGGAAATATATTTCGACTGAGAAATAAATGTTCCTTGACTTGTCTGTTTTATTTGCAGACCAAGGAAGTATTGAAGCTCTCCCATCATGCTCATTTCAAAGACCTCTTTCATAGAATCACAGAAGGCAGCACACATATCAGAATTGGTAGAACCAAACACAATATCATCCACGTATATTTGAACTAAAAGTAAGTCAGTAGAGTTGCTTTTAGTGAATAAAGTCTTGTCAACCGACCCTTGCTTGAATCCTTGATCATGAAGAAAAGAAGTTAGGCGTTCATACCAAGCACGAGGTGCTTGTTTGAGTCCGTACAAAGCTTTTCTTAATTTGTATACATGATCAGGATAATTTGGATCAACAAATCCAGGTGGTTGAGAGACATAAACTTCTTCATGAATTTCTCCATTTAGAAAAGCACTTTTAACATCCATTTGAAACAAGGGAAAATCTTTGTAACACGCATAAGCACATAATAATCTAATAGACTCTAAACGTGCCACAGGAGCAAACGTTTCATCATAGTCTATTCCTTCCTCTTGACAATACCCCTGAGCTACAAGACGAGCTTTATTACGAATAATAATGCCCTCTTCATCTGATTTATTTCTAAAAATCCATTTGGTACCAATGATAGTTTGATTTATGGGACGAGGAACTAAATCCCAAACATGCAAGTATGAGAATTGAGTCAACTCCTCTTGCATGGCCAGTGTCCATTTCTCATCTTTTAAGGCTTCTTTGTAGTTTTTTGGTTCAATTTGAGACACAAAAGCATACTGGCCAGGAGTGTACTTACCTCTGGTCCTGAGTTTGTCGTTTAGCTCACCAATGACTTGCTCAACAGGGTGTCGTTTCTGTATGTGAGGAGGGGCAGCAGATGATCTTTCCTGCAGATCAGGTTCTTTAGGTGCTTCAGTATTCATGGACGTTTCTCCAATTCTGTCCTGAGGTGCTTCTCTTGTAGGAGAAGTTACAGCATCCTTGTCTAATGACTTTTCACCATTATCACGAGTTAATTCTAACATGTCATAGACTAACAGCTCACAATCAGAATTCAACCCTACTTCAGAAGAATCATTGAACACAATATGAACCGATTCCTCAACCTTTTTGGTTCTCTTATTATAGACACGATATGCTTGACCTTTTATAGAGTATCCAAGAAAAATGGCTTTATCTGACTTAGCATCGAATTTTCCTAGATGATCTTTAGTGTTAAGAATAAAGCAAGGACAGCCAAATGGATGCAAGTAAGCCAGGTTGGGTGTCTTGTTCTTCAAGACCTCATAGGGAGTCTTATTTAAACCTTTTCGAAGAAGGATCCTATTGATAAGATAGGTTGCTGTACTAACAGCTTCACCCCAGAAAAATTTAGGCAAGTTATATTCTAGTAACATGGTGCGAGCACATTCAATAATAGTCCTATTCTTTCTTTCTACAACTCCGTTCTGTTGAGGAGTTCTAGGCGCAGAGAAGGTATGAGTTATCCCAGATTCATTGCATAGAATCTCAAACTCCTCTGATATAAATTCACCACCATTGTCACTTTTTATGGTCTTTAGTTGACCATGATATAGATTGACAAAGGTTTTAAATTTACTCAGAGTTTCATCCTTATGAGATAAGAAATAAACCCAGGTATAGCGTGAATAATCATCAACTAACACGAAAACATAGCTTTTACCACCCAAGCTGGTTACATTTGATGGACCAAAGAGATCCATATGGATTAGTTCGAAAACTTCCTTAGTAACTATATCAGGCCTGGGTTTAAAAGCTTTTCTAGAATGTTTCCCAGAGACACATGTTTCGCAGAAGAAATCAGACTTTTCTTTTAAAATAGGAACTCCACGAACACAATTTGATTTGGATAGTACTACCAGTTTAGGTAGACTTATGTGACCCAATTTTCTGTGCCATAGAAGTTCTTGATGATTTGAGGCCACAAAGCACGTTTCATTAAAGGCATCTAAAACATTCAAATCTATCACATACATGTTGTTTATTCTATTTCCTACAAATAAAATCTTTCCATCCTTAATTCTCTCGACAATGCAATGATCAGTTTTGAAGGCAACTTGATTCCCATTGCTACAGAGTTGACTTATAGACAATAGGTTATGTTTAAGTCCTTCAACAAGCAATACATCTCGAAATGAGGGTGAAGGATGCATTCCTATAGTTCCACAACCTATGATGCTACCATGACCATTATCACCAAACAGAACTTTACCTCCATAACTAGGTGTTAGAGAAGAGAAAAGAGATCTCTTACCAGACATGTGATGCGAACAACCACTGTCTAAGTACCACCTTTTGCTGTCATAGTAAGAGTGGAGTGCGATCTCAGATGCATCATGACATTTTTCAGTGGCCATGTATGCTTCTTCATCAGATTGGATAACTTCTGGTTCTGAATCGTAATCGCTCCAGGAAGCCTTCATAGCTTTTTCTTTAGCACGAATAGTCAAGGGACAGTTAGCCCTTATGTGACCGAGTTTCCCACACTTATAACAAGCCTGAGATTCCCTGTTCTGCTGACCTGTTTCAACATATCTGGTCTGCTGTTGAGGCAGCCTTTCTTGAAAAGTTGTTTTGTTACGATCAAAAGACATAGGTTTTGATTCCTCAGAATAACGTTTTTGATCATTTTTGTATTTCAGCATTCTATGGAATCTCTTACTCACAAGGGCAAATTCTTTATCAAAGTCACTCTCACTAGCCTTAGATTTAAATGCTAAATTCTTTTTACGTTTCTCATCTTCCTGCCCTACCTGTCTAATGACAAGTTCATGACTTAATAAGGATCCAATCAGCTCATTAGTAGGCAGAGTGTTCAGATTTTTAGCTTCCTCAATAGCAGTCCTTTTAGGTAACCATTCTTTAGGCAAGGATCTTAGAATTTTCCGATTCAATTCCTTAATATGAAATGATTTTCCTAGGCCCTTTAATTTGTTGATAAGCACAGTGAATCTGGAGTACATTTCATGTATTCCTTCTCCTTCAATCATCGCAAATGATTCAAATTCATGCATTAAAACATCTATACGCGATTCTTTAATATTAGACGTACCTTCATAGGTGCTTTCCAGAGCAAGCCAGATTTCTTGAGCAGTCTTACAGTTTTCGACTTGATCTGCTTCATCGGGATTCATGGCGGATTGAAGAACATGCATGGCTCTTTGATTGAGCTGTGCACTTTTCTTCTGCGCGACCGACCACAGGTTTTGTTCATCTGCATCCATTTGAATCGGACCGTTCTGAACTATTAACCATAGCTCTTCGTCTACCCCCCACATGAACTGCTTCATCCTCTTTTTCCAGGCAGTATAATTTGCCCCAGTAAAGATAGGAGGATGATTTAGAGCAGCTTGTCCGAACGTGCTAGAAGCCATTGGATCTTAGACCTTGGCAGCAGCAAGCTTCGTCAAGGCCTAGCTCTGATACCACTTGTGAAGTGTTTGGGACGAAGAAATTAGGTCAGAACGAAAAGGGGAGGAAGAGAGATCGAACAGACGAGAAGAATGAGATTGTTTCTCTTGTTCGATTCTCAAATCAGCTAAGTAAGTGACCAGACAGAAATAGAAATGGGCCTGAACAGTATTAATTGATTAGGCCCAACCGAATGAGTATAAACATCTCAAGCCCACAGATACAAAGCCAAGTCCAATGAACAAGAGCAGCTCAGCAGAGATGAACTCAGAGCATCAGCAGGAAGAAAACGAACCAGCAGCAAAACTGAAAGTGCAGAAAGTAAATGGCTCAGGAAGTTTTTTAACGTGGTTCACCTTTGTGCAATGGTTACTTCCACGTCCCAGAATACAGTCTGGGAGACCCTTTAATAAATATAGAAATAAGAAGACTCAAGAACAAAATACAATCAAGGAAACTGAACACACGAGCAAAGCCACCTCAAGTCACAGACTTGATACCAGAACCAGAGAACCTCTACCTCTCTGTAAACCCTTTTGTAACCCAGCCCTTTACCGCTTCCACTTACAAAAAGTGCTCTCCAAGAAGACACACCAACAATATATATATAACAGCATTGAGAGAGCCGTTAGCACTAAAGAAGGAAACTCATTAGTCCTTAAATTGCTCCATCTTTGATTACCAATCAACAACGGTCCAGAGGCGTTAATTCTGGCTTGAATTCATCCAACATATTGTTCCAAGGTTTGCACAATGCAAAATCTTTGAAGCTAGATACTGATGCAATTCAGGTAATACTGCATCCTTTGATCTTATGCATGCACAATGTGACTGGTCCGCTCTTTGTTGCGGTTATTGTTGTTAGTAATTGATATATGATCTATAATCGAATCTATTCTAATAAATCAAATTATTGAGAGAACAACGAATTTTTGACATAATACCATAACCTTCTATGACTGAGAGGTATTTTGTTCATGATGTCCTGATGATCCTATTTATTATCAGATAATATTCTAATGCTGGTGCAAACTTCAAACCTTTATGTAGGCACTCAGAAGGATTTCCGGTTTTCTGGCAAAGCAGCCCTCCCCCTTCAGGCGATTGGAGGCATTGATTGTGGTGACCGACGGGCTACTACCGAACAAACTTTTCAATTACTTTTTCAAAGGATCTTCCTGTGAATAACCACAAATTTTAACCGACCCTGTTAACTTTAAGTTCATTTATGTCTCTAATGGAGTGTGCAGCAACGCAGCTTGTAGAAGCAAATGTAGGCCGGATCTCTAATGGATATCAAAGTAATTTCATATTATAATTTGCAGTTTTGTTCAATTATCTCTTAACCTAACTATGTTAGGTTCTTTAACCATTGTTGTAGCTCATCATATGTATTCCATGCCCCCTTATCCATATCTAGCTGTAGACACAAGTTTCACAATGAACTTTTTTTGACAGTGAAGTTTGGCAATGAGCATTGAGTTGCTATACCAGTACTTATTTTCTGTGAACTGCTTTTGTGATTATTTCAATCAAAGAGAATATCCGCATCCTAATTCCACCATAGGATCTGGCACCTTGTCCAGAAATAGCTCCACAATGTTATCCCGGAGGACTAATTGGGGTTTTGATCTTTAAAATAATATTCTATATTATTTTAATCATGTCAAATTGGCCAAAATTCGATATTCACGAATTTTGGGTCGAATGCAAGTAAAATATGCTTTTGGAATTGACGGGTTGGAATGGATGTGAGTTTGGCCAAAATTTAGCCCGCTTTCTACCCGACTTACACCCAAAAAGGAAAACGACATCATTTTACTTTTAACCCTATAAATTCTACACACAGCCTATAGTCACTCAACAAATTTGGCCTATTATGACGAGGAAATTTTGTCATATTAGATACACTTTTATTCATATTAGGTATAATATGACAACAGGTGTTGTCACAAAGGTTTGTCATTTTATCGCCGTCAAGATAGGTCAAATGTGACAAAAATTTAAAACAAGGTTGTCACATTTACTTTCAGTATAGCTCAGGTTCTGGTAGTCTATTGTGACAAACAGAGATGTTATGACGACTTAGTTTGTCATTAATTTTGTCATAATTTGCTTATTTTGACAAAATCGTTCGTCATATTACACCACTATATTTTGACATCACATAATTGTGACGAACAAATTTGTCATAAATGTATGGTGTGACGAATATATTTTGTCATAACTTTATATTAGGAGGAACGTATCTTGTCATACTTGTATATTGTGACCAATATGATTTATTCATCAATACATTGAATAATATATAGTTGAAAAAATTAATATTCTTGTAGCATGAAACTCCGATGAAACAAACACTAGTTACACATCTAACTATTTTTGGTGTCCTAAACTAACTAATCTGGGAATTCTGAAGCCCTCGACAACGCTGGCCTATTGTTGTCACTGTTGCTGTCGCTTATATGTTCATACAATCCGTAGAGAAAACCTACATCAAATTGAAAGCTGAGACAACGCAAACCTTGGCATTCTGCCCAAACTCTTTCTTGAAGATATCAATAGAACCAGGGCAACAAACATCTAGTTGTGTTTGGAGTTCAAGGGTGATTAAGGTGTAACTCTGTCTTAACGTAGATATAAAAAAATGCCGGGAATGAATAGTTTTAAAAGATATAAGTGAAGTATCTAATATCGCATTGGTGGGCAGAGCCTTGCAGAAGGTATATAAGAATACGTTTCTCTCTTTTAAGGGTATACCCCTTGGGTGACCCACTTTCATTAGAGAAGGGGTATTTAAAAAATCTTCATTGGGTTGGTCGCTCGAATTGAGACTATAAAATTTTAAAGAAATTTTAATTTGTTATATGAATCATTTTCTTATAAAAGAGAAATATAATGTAGAATAATTAATACTATAACGCATTTTAATTAGCTTTACTTATTCCCCACGAAGAGGGTATTCGAACGGTTTTGGCTCTTATAAATATTCGACTCTCAACATACCTTGTAGATAGACAATTAAGTGAGCAAAAACAACAAGAGAGTGAGATTTAGAGAGCTCTAGTTTTGCACAACTCGAGAGTAATAAAAATAGGTTGTTTCATCCTGAAAACGACCGATTGATAGTATGTCGTGCACAATACGTGGCATGCCCGCTAAATTCTATAAAAAAAGAACCTAGCAGTGACAGAGCCAAGTGGACATGAGGGAGGTCCAAGCACCACCTGGAAGATGATAGACAAAAAAAAAAAAAAAAAAAAAGGTGAAAATCAAACAAAGCACCTGCGCGCCTGTTAAAGCCTCATTCCCTAATTAGAATATGCTCCTTAGTCCTCAAGTCTGCAACACAGCCCCAATTTCTTCCTCTTCGTGACTTCCATTCTCTGGTTCTCACTTCCGAATAGAATGAGTATTGGGTGGTTGTGTTAGAAATTCATTTCCTAACTTACTATCAAATTATAAATATACTATATTTGTTATTCATTTAGATGGACTAAATAAGTGATCAAATTTATCTGGCCCATGATTACTCAAACTCAATGTGTGTCCAGTGGAGTTAATTTTGTGGGATTCATTCATTATTCCCTAGTCCTACCATAGGTGTAATTTTGACCCTAAAAACCCACTGACTCGTTCTGACCCGTCTCGACCAGTTTATCTACAGGGTCAGATTAGAGACTAATCATTTGTTGACCCAATAAGAATCGAGATGGGTTGGGGCAACTTAGGGACATGTCACTTTTTGACCCTGTGACTCTAGCAATTATTAGTGATATGAATTTCTCATACCAACACATGAGACCTATTTGTAAAGTTTTAAAAGTTTGGGACTATATTGCAAGATAAAAATACAATGGTACTAAAATGTAATTTTGCCATCAAAATTTCTAAACCTATTTGTAACAAAAATATAATTTAGGTACCAAATTATAAAAAAAAATTGAATATGAAAATATAAATTTTAAAAAAACTGTATTTTGATTTGAGTTGACCCACTCACTCATCCCTAACCGACCCTAGAGAGTCATATAGGATCGACAAGGATGGAACATGTCAATTATACCAGTTGATCCTTCAGAGACGTGTGAAGTAGGGATGGCAACAAAATCCGAACCCACGGGTACCCACCCGACCCAACCCGGTCAACGCGGGTAAAACCCATTCACTATTCACCTGGTTGGATTTAGGTAAACCCGCCCCATGGGTACCCGCCCACACCCATATAATTAATTTTCTCGGTATATTTAATATTCTAAACAACTAATCTTATTTATGTTTGTGGAGACATGTCTAATTTTTTCTTTCTAATTGTGTAGAATGAAGTGGATGTTATCGAGTGGAGAGTGAAGAAACTTAATTGACAAGGAGGAAGAAGCTTTCAATTAATCATGTTATTTATGGATAATTTGTGATTTGCTTCAATTTTTTTGAGTTAATAAGATTGGTGTTGAACAATTTGTATAGTTAATTTTTGATTTGTTTGAATTTTCTAGAATAGTGTTTTATATATGGATAATTTGTATTGAAAGATTGATATTTGACTTTAGTGTTGATCGGAACTCGTTATTGTAAATTTTTTACGATAGAAACCCGTGGGTACCCATGAACCCGCAGATACCCAACGGGTTGGGTTTGAATTTTTCAAATACAGTGAGTTTTACCCCGAGTTTTTTTTCACGGATAAACCAATACGTTTGGTTTTGACAAAACCCAACCTAACCCGACCCTTTGCCATCCTTGGGTGAAGTAAATTTACAACCCTATTAATTGGAGGAAATCCAACAATATATTTTCAAAATAGTTTATCCTATCTGTGATTTTTGAAATTCGCACTCGTGGGATTACAAAATTCTGCATGAATAAAATACTCTGACTTTTGCTAAAATCCTATAATGTGATGGTGTCAAAATCCTGATCCATAGAGTGTACATGGGTCGAGTGGTTTGAATTTGGTCATTTTAATCAACCGACCCATACATGATGGCTTTGAAAATATCACATCAAAATCCATTAAAAAAATTTAGAACCCTATGATTTGTATATAGTTGGGTTGAGTCGAGTTGGAGATAATTTTAATTAAAAACCCAACCCAACATGAAAAGACAACTATTCTATAAAATATTATATAACCGGGTAAATTTTTTAGCAAATAAATTGAAATGAAAAGTATTAAAATGCATAAATGGTATTTTTATTTTCATGAAGTACAATTTGCTGTAACATAAGTCTAGTTTTTCCTACAAACATTTGCCAAAATAAACTAAAATGGTTAAAGTGAACGCATTCATAATATATTATTTTTTTAAAATTGTACGCACACAAAATTACGTGACTTGTAGCCTATATTAAATATACTTCTAAACTTTTAAGTAGAAGAATGTATTAGACTAGAGAAACCACAAGAGAAAATTATGATAAAATTATCTTAATTTTCTTACAAATATGCTTATATACAATATAAATATGTATTGGATACGAACATTTATGACAATAGTTGGAATACTGGTTAGGTCGGATTCTACGGGTTGTGTAATCCAAAATCCGGACCCAATCCAATAGAGACGATTTGTACAAAATAAAACACTCACCAACCTTAAAACTTAATTTTATCGATAAATACGGGTGGGTTAGATCGGATTGGATGGGTTGGTCGATTTGCGAATTATTTTGTTGAGCCCTAATGATCCAAACGACCAAAACTCCAAAAGTAATATGATATAGCAACGACAAGAAAATTAAAAATAACCCTAAATTGGTGAATTCCGAACTCTGTGAAGTCTGAACACCGAAGAACGTACATATTGTCAAGTCGCGATTCCGGCAAGACGCAAGTTTGGATCGCAGCGGTAGGATACAGAGGCAAGAGTCTCTCTATCCAGGTAATGGTCATCAGAAACAACTGAATTCCTGCGTGTTACTTCTCAATTCTGTTCTTGCTTCATTTTCCTGTTTCTAGGTCCTTTGATTCCTCGATTTCGATAGAGAACTGAAATGATCTGTTTGTTGGTTGCGTCGAGCGCGAGACTTTATACCTGTATTTCAACAACTTAACCACAAATGATCTCAATTATATTATTTTACTCAATTGAATTTAAATGACTAACTTAAGATTAATTTAATTTAATGTGACAGCTAGCTAGTCCTTGGTCTAAACTCTACTCACTAGATAACTACCCTAGTGAAATCCCTCGTTTAAACCTACCCTTAAACTTAATAAAAATCCAAGCCCACTCAATTAAGCCTAGCAATGAAAGCAGATCAGGTTTCTAAGCCCAGCTACACAATATATGCAACTCCTCTCTTTTCACTCGTTTGGGCTCCTATGCCCAGAAGCTTTCGGATAGGCAGATTAATTAACGTTCCCAAAAACAATTCCAGCCCACACGAATCCTTGTCCCAACCCTGCTTCTAAGAGCCGAGCACAGAAAACGACAGAGTTTTAGTAAAACTCAAGTCTTCCTTCCCTCTTCTGAAAGTTCGATCAAACCAAGACTTGCACTCGGATGAAATACGAACAGGGGAAGAACAGTACAGATACTACAAACCAAACCCAGGCAATAATCAATTCAATTAAACCAAACCCAAGTCCAGATATTTCCTCGACTCAGTCCTGCCCGTCGCCTTCCCTGGTGGATCTCGAACCGAGTTCCCGTGGTTTCCAGTATTGGGAGAATGAGGATCCCAATACTAACTACTCCACGGTCAGAGAATCACGATCGAGTGATCTCTGACGATTCACTATGATATGGCGTTGAAGTTCTTCGTTACAAGCAATCTACCAAGAGCCCTTTGATCAATCTCTACCCGATTGATCTAACTCTCTTTTCTCAAACCCGAATTGCTTCCCCAGCAACTCGAAACCAGTGTTTCCCCAACACTAACCCTCAAAGCGATTCTCCCCGAACCCTTTGAGAAACCCCTTTCCTATCACTCTAGCTATTCTCACAAAATCCCCTTTTGGCTTAGCTAGTTTTTGATCTCTTGAAAGGTTCCTTTGCTCTTCCTTCAAATCGCCTTTTATAGGCTGCAATGTAGCTGTTGAGAATTTGAATTCCCTTGAAATCTTCAAGTATGGCAAGTTCTTATTCTTTCTTCTTTTGACCCGAAAACTTGCCTTAACTGTTTTTGGGCAGCCACCTTATTTCCAGCTGTGAGTTGATTCTTTGTCTTGGCCTTCAAGCTGCTCCTGTTAACATTCTCCCCCTCAGCTTGTTAGTAGCCAAGCTTCTCCCCCTAAACTTGTCCAAGGTTCATATTAAACTGCTTCAAAGTTCTGCACACTTAAACAAACTGTTGGTGTAGCCTGTCCAACTACTAATGACTGACATGTGATCAAAAAAGATAACTGGGAGAGTCCATTTTATTTATTAGCAAAATCATCAAAGCACATTCAACACTAATACACAGCAAGACTTAATCTCAAATCAACCAAACAAGACTCAAATGACATAACAGACAATGACTCAAAAGCAGACAGCCGACTTCTACTCTAAAAGACCGACCCAAACCATTCAACTACCATTAATTCATCCATGGATCTCCCCCTAAATCAAGCATCTAACACAGTCCTAGTAGGTGTACTCCGGAGACGACGCATACTCCGATGGATCGACTTCCTCATCATCCGAAGGTAAGAATAACACCCTGCTGACTTTCTTGCCTGAGGTGCTGGCCTCTTTTCCCTTCAGTGACACGGTAAAGTCACGGAGGAGGCTTTTTCCTTCATTTTCCAGCCTTACCCCTTCCTGTATATGCTCCAATGTCAAAGTCTTCTTGCGCTTTCCCGAAGATTCTGCTATTCCCTTTCCCTTGTCAAGCCTGGAGATTCCACCAGCTGTGTATGCAGCTGCCGTGTCCTTTAACCAGCTACCCTCATCATTGTCGTCTTCTTCTGGTTTTGATTTGGACTCACAATTGGCAGCTTTGTCTCCCCCTTGAACTTTGGCAAGTTTGCGGGGTCCAAGCCACGAGATAGGGCGACGCAGAACATGCTGAGCTTGCAGATCAGAACGAGCCTCCCGATTGATGATTTTCCCACGTAGATCGACCCCTAAGATGGCCAACAGATGGGTGATTTGCGGGCCAAAAGGCAGCTTGCTACTGCACTCTTCTTCGCGATATTTCATCATATGATTAAACATCAGCGAGGCATAGCTGATCGGGCAGCTTGTCTTCGCGTTAAACAGAATCCAGAGGTCAGAGTCGTCCAGAGTGGCGGCCTGGTCAGCAGCGCGAGGGAGGAACACATGACTGACGTAGAACTGCAGCGCTCTCAGATCATCCGGCAGCCGCTCCACGGAGAACCTCGAAAGCTCGTGACTCCCGTAATCGCTAGCCAAATAAGACATCGTGTCTATGGGGTGGAACCCATAGTTGTCAAAGTCTGCTGCAGTTTCGGCTTGATACCCACCATGAGGAAGATGCAACAGAGTAGCCAGTATATCAGCAGTAACAGTCACACTGAAGTTGTAGACGGTGGTGGTGAAGTACGACGGATAACGTCCAGGACCGCACTGCATACTTGCGTAGAACATACGCACTGCTTCAGGGCACTGATCAAGGAGGCGATTCTGAAACAGAGAACTCCATCCAAGATCATTGATATACCCATTCACCCTCAGTCTGTACCGGTTGAACGAGGTAGGGGGAATGAGGAATGAGGGATGCAGAGGGCGATCACAAAAGCTACGCAGATACTTGGAGTAGGCTTCTGAGTTGCGGAATCCCCGATTCGTGAATATTGCAGCAAGTGCAAGGTTCACATTGAGCTGGAGATTGCTCGGTGCCATGGTGTGACAGAGGGGGGGGGGTGCTGCTATCGATGGTGAGGCTGAGGAAGGCGTATGTGGATTTGAAGGCGGGGATGAAAAATCCCATGACGAGACAGGTTTTTTAAACTGGCTAGGCGAGAGCAGTTTTGGAACGTTTTCGGAAAGAGGAAAGTCGTATCTGCTCGACTGGAAGAGGAAGGTCGTACTGCTGCATCTGCTGGCGGAAGATATGTCTTTCCATTTCGTCGAGGATGCACGGAATGAGGTTGAGGGGAGAAAGGCACTTCCTCTTTTAAATCTCCATTTTAAAAGGCACTCTTGACGTCCATTTGAAAGAGTTTGAAACCCTTAGAGCTAGCAAACGCACATAACATTCTAATAGCCTCTAATCTAGCTACCGGAGCAAAGATTTCATCGAAATCAATTCCCTCTTCTTGATTATACCCTTTAGCTACCAACCTAGCCCTATTTCTAGTAGCTACCCCATTTTCATTTGACTTGATCTTGTAGATCCATTTTGTCCCGATAATAACTCTATTAGGGGGTCTAGGTACTAACTCCCACACATTAGCTCGTTCAAACTGACTCATTTCATCATTCATAGCAGCATTCCAATTTTCATCATTCAAAGCTTCTTGCACGTTTTTAGGTTCAATCAATGACACAAAAGCAGTATGCACAATTGAATTTCTAGAGCGAGTGTCCATACCTTCATTTAGCCCTCCTATCATAAGTGAAGATGGATGACGTTTGGCAATATGAGGAGGAGGTTGTCTTACTTCATGGTCTTGCTCGATTGGAGAGTTTGTAGTACTTACAGTTTTATCTTGATCTTCAGAAATGATCGTTCTGGGTTCAGATTTCTCCGTGTTTGATGTCCTTGGTAGATCATAGCTCCCACCAAGTCCAAAATCATCTTCATCTATCTCATCTGAAACCTCATTAACAGATTCATCAAATATAACATTTATGGACTCTTCCACTTTGAGAGTCCTTTTGTTGAATACTCTATAAGCTCTGCTAGTCATGGAGTAGCCTAAAAACACACATTCATCGGACTTGGCATCAAACTTCCCAAGGTGATCTTTGGTGTTTAATGCAAAGCACTTGCAACCAAAGGGATGGAAGTAGCTCAGATTGGGTTTTCTTCCTCTCCAAATCTCATAAGGAGTCTTCTTAATTCCAGATCTGATCAAAGCTCGATTAGTAATATAGCATGCAATATTTATGGCTTCAGCCCAGAAGTACTTAGGCACACCATAGTCATGTAACATTGTTCGAGCTATGTCAATCAAAGTCCGATTTTTCCTTTCCACCACTCCATTTTGTTGCGGAGTTCGAGGAGCAGAAAATTGTGACTTATTCCAAGCTTATTGCAGAAGATTTCAAACTCTTCTGAGATAAATTCTCCACCATGATCACTTCTAATGCTAGCAACCTTAGATTGTTTTTCATTTTCCAATTTTCTAGTTAGAGCCTCAAAGTTTTGAAAAGCTTCACTTTTGCTAGCTAGAAACAATACCCAAGTGAAACGAGAATATTCATCCACAACTACGAAAGCATAAGACTTACCTCCATAGCTTACCACATTGGTAGGTCCGAAGAGATCAAGATGAAGTAATTCAAGAGGTCTTGTTGTGGAAATTACCGTCTTACTCTTGAAGCTAGACCTTGTATGCTTTCCTTTAGCACACGCATCACAAAAGAATTCCTTCTTGCCTTTTGACTTAGGTAGACCTTTGACTAGCTCAAGGTCACTTAGTTTAGACAGAATCCCTATACTCACGTGACCAAGCTTCCTATGCCAATCTATCTGATCATTCTTCTCTAGAGACATTAGACAGGTTACCTTAAAACTTTCTTTATCATCTAGATTTATGACATATAACTTATTTTTACGTCTACCGGTGAAAAGCACTTTCTTATCCACCAAAGACTCGATGTAGCAACAATCATGTTCAAAAATTATCCTCTTATCTTTGCCACACATTTGACTAATAGAAAACAGATTATGCTTAAGACCTTTTACTAACATCACATTTTCAATGCATGGATCTGAACCAACTATTCCTCTTCCTATTATGTCGGCAGAATTATTGTCACCAAAAAATACCTTACCACCTTTACCTTCTTTGAGAGAGGTGAATAGGTTTCGATTTCCCGTCATGTGGTGTGAGCATCCACTGTCTAGTATCCATTCTGTTGCCTCCATGCTCACTTGGAAGCAAACCTGCGCCATTAGCAGTCATGCAGTTTTGGGTTTTTGCATCCACACTTTCTTGGATACAGTTTGTTTGTGATCTTTAAGAGAACAGAATCTACTTATGTGACCGACTTGATGACAAGTAAAACAAGTTTTATAGTTTTCATTTTGTATTCTCTTTCTGCAAACTCGCCTAATGTGCCCAAATTTATGACAATAGAAACATTCTATGTTTCTATATCCTTGTTTTTGTGTTCCATTCCTCTCATGCTTTATTGATTCTCCAAAAAATTTCGACTTACCTTTACTACATGAACTTGATCCTAATTTTCCACCATGTCCCTTTGAGGACTGATTTAGGTAAGATTTACCTTCTTTTTTCATAGATTCAATCTTATTCCCTTCTAATGATACTTGAAGTTTTGCTGTGAGACTCGTTTTCTCATTTTCTAAAACTTCAACTTTCTTAGCAGTTTCATCTAACTCTTCTTTTAATCTGATTGCCTCCTTCTTTAATTTATCATGTTCAATGTTTATTTTGGCATGATCAGATTTTAGTTTAGAGTATTTTACTTTGACATTTCCAAACTCTAACTGAATTTCCTTGATAGTGGATACTAATAGATCATCATCACTATAGTAATCACTGTCACTGAAATGAGTATGGTTGGAAGGTTTTACCTCGTTTGAGTTATGTCCTTCTGATGGCTTTTCAACATCAATAGCCATGTACCTTTCTTCTCTTGTTTCCTCTCCATCCTCATCTTCTTCTTCGCTACAGCTCCATGTTGCAGCCATGGCTCGTTCTTTTCTTGCTAGAGGACATTCAGCCTTGATATGCCCAGTTTTTCCACATCTAAAGCAACCGGTAGTGTTTTGAGTCTTGACCGGCTGAACCTGATCAATCTTGTTTTTGTGGAATGCTCTTGATTGAGGGTATTTTGATGTACCACCCTCTTTCTCAACTTCTCTATTCTTGTTAAAGAAGTTTCCTCTTCGTTTTTCTCTTCTCACTCGAAGTAGTCTACTAATTTGTTTGCTTAGTAGAGCCAATTCCTCATCCTCCATATCATCGAGATCTTCTGTGTCTTCATTGTATGTGGTAGCTTTGAAGGCTATCCCCTTTTTCCCTTTATCATGATTTCCCTTGTTGAGCTTGTTCTCATGACTTGCTAATGACCCGATGAGTTCATCTATAGCTAACTTCTCTAGATCTTTAGCTTCCTCTATTGCGGTTACCTTTGGAGTCCATTGCTCTGGGAGACTCCATAGAATTTTTCTGACAAGATCTCCAATTTCGTACGATTTTCCAAGATTCTCCAAATTGTTCACAATGTTTGTGAACCGTTCGTACATTTGCCGAATAGTTTCTCCTTCTTCCATCTTGAACAACTCGAATTGCTGTTTTAAGGAATTAATTCGAGAAGTTTTGACTTGAGAGGTACCTTCATAAGTACCCTGGAGTTTATCCCAGATTTCCTTAGCAGTCTTGCACCCTGCGACTTTGTGATATTCTTCTGGACCGAGAGCGCAGTACATGAGATTAGTTGCCTTGCAGTTTTGCTGAAATTTCTCAAAGTCATCGTCTGTCCATTTTTCTTGATCCTCCTTGAGCTCATACGGACCCTTGATGACTCTAGCCCAGAGTTTTGGATCTGTAGATCCAACAAATAATTCCATGCGATTTTTCCAATATCCATAATTAACTCTTTCAAATCTGGGAGGCCGATTTTGAGAGATTCCGTCAGCCAAATAGAGTGGAGCTTCTTGGAACCCGACGCCATTTCGATTAGCACCGGAGGTCGTTGAACCTTGCTCTACGGTGACCGTGCTCTGATACCACGTGTTGGTTGCGTCGAGCGCGAGACTTTATACCTGTATTTCAACAACTTAACCACAAATGATCTCAATTATATTATTTTACTCAATTGAATTTAAATGACTAACTTAAGATTAATTTAATTTAATGTGACAGCTAGCTAGTCCTTGGTCTAAACTCTACTCACTAGATAACTACCCTAGTGAAATCCCTCGTTTAAACCTACCCTTAAACTTAATAAAAATCCAAGCCCACTCAATTAAGCCTAGCAATGAAAGCAGATCAGGTTTCTAAGCCCAGCTACACAATATATGCAACTCCTCTCTTTTCACTCGGTTGGGCTTCTATGCCCAGAAGTTTCGGATAGGCAGATTATTTAACGTTCCCAAAAACAATTCCAGCCCACACGAATCCTTGTCCCAACCCTGCTTCTAAGAGCCGAGCACAGAAAACGACAGAGTTTTAGTAAAACTCAAGTCTTCCTTCCCTCTCCTGAAAGTTCGATCAAACCAAGACTTGCACTCGGATGAAATAAGAACAGGGGAAGAACAGTACAGATACTACAAACCAAACCCAGGCAATAATCAATTCAATTAAACCAAACCCAAGTCCAGATATTTCCTCGACTCAGTCCTGCCCGTCGCCTTCCCTGGTGGATCTCGAACCGAGTTCCCGTGGTTTCCAGTATTGGGAGAATGAGGATCCCAATACTGACTACTCCACGGTCAGAGAATCACGATCGAGTGATCTCTGACGATTCACTATGATATGGCGTTGAAGTTCTTCGTTACAAGCAATCTACCAAGAGCCCTTTGATCAATCTCTACCCGATTGATCTAACTCTCTTTTCTCAAACCCGAATTGCTTCCTCAGCAACTCGAAACCAGTGTTTCCCCAACACTAACCCTCAAAGCGATTCTCCCCGAACCCTTTGAGAAACCCCTTTCCTATCACTCTAGCTATTCTCACAAAATCCCCTTTTGGCTTAGCTAGTTTTTGATCTCTTGAAAGGTTCCTTTGCTCTTCCTTCAAATCGCCTTTTATAGGCTGCAATGTAGCTGTTGAGAATTTGAATTCCCTTGAAATCTTCAAGTA